TGCTTAGATTGTAATTAGTCAATTTAGCTCTAGATTCTTAGTTAAATTTTAGCATTCATTATATAAACCTCAATTGTTGATCATCTTGGATAGCAATCTAGCTACAACTACGATAATATTGTTTAACTCAAATCCCTGTAGATACAATATTATATTATACTATATTCGACTAGCGAGCATATTTTAAGTGCTCGTCATTAGGGGGCTTAGAAAGTTTAGAACATTTGGAGAGAGAGACTCAGAAAGCAAAACCTTATATGACATATAACAATGAAAAATTAAAAAGAAGAAAGAAGATTTATTAGGAACTTAGTTGAATAGTCCAAAGGATAATGATAAAATTAGTCCTTTATGGTTGAGGGATTGGTCTAAAATAGTCCAATAAAATACGCATTTAATCAATTTTAGTTCTTTATTTTCCCAAACTTTGGCACTTCCATTCTTTGTTATAATATTTATAACAATAGAGGCAGTTTGATGAAATTGACTCATGAAATGTATGCGAGACGTTAAACTTAACTAGTGGGATATGATTCTCCCGATTCATTTTAACAGTTTGTACCTTAAGAAAAATTCTTAACGATAATATTAACAAACGGGGTAACTAGGAATTCAGAGAAAATATAAACCATTAGTTCATTATTCTCCATTTCATATAATTGAGGGTCGAAAGAAACAAATCGTATCTTCAATTGGCTTTACTAAGATCTTAATTAAGTACAAAATGGAGGAAATTAATTCGAAAAAGTTTGTCATGGTAGTTTTAAAATGGCTTGCGTGCTTCTCAATTCAATTCCGTCAAAGATGACATTGCCATTGTATCAATAATAAGATAGACTAATATCACTTAATTTTACTAAATATAAAAGATCAAAACTACTCATGTGTATATTTAAAGAACCATTTAGATCAACTCCTAAACACAAAGGACTATTTTTGTTATTTTCTCAACCGTTCAAATACAAAGTTAATTTAGACTACACTTATTTAAAAGGCAGAATAGCCTAATAGACACTTTTATTGTTCGCATTTGTCATCCGGGTCCCTATATTTAAAGAAGTTTCATCCAGACACTTATAATATTTCAAAGTCGATATTTCAAACCTCTTTGACTATTGACCGATCATATGTGACAACTTTAATGGCTGAGTTGTACAAGATTCGTATATTTCACGCGTACAACGAGCATGAATATAATATTAAAAATGATTAAAATAAGAAAAAGACAAAAAAAAATTAAAAACAAAACAAATTATGTTTCTTTCTCGTTTCACCCCGCCCCCCTCCCGTATTTTTTTTTCTCTCTTTATCCCTCTCCTCTTCTCGTTCTTCCCCAGCCCCTACCCCATTTCTTTTTTTCTTCCGCCCATTTCGTTCTTCCCCCGGCCCCTGCCCAATTTCTTTTCTTTTTTTTTTAAATATTTTTGATAGATCTGAGTTTCTTTGTCATTGTTTGTTTGCTTTGTGAATGTTTGTTTTAGTACAAAATCATTTAATTAAATTTACTAAAATATGATAGAGTGTAATATTAGGAACCCTTTTTCAGGAAACACAATTTTAATGGGAGAAAGACATGATGAAGCTAGTGAAATCGTAAAGATGGACGTGCAAGAATAAAGATGGACGAAAATGGCGAAAAGAGGAACGAAATTGGGAATCAAAGAGTGTTCATGGTGTTTTTTTATGGGTAGAAAAATTTTGTTGTGGAGAAGGTGATTGTGGAGAAGAAAGAGAAAAGAAAAAGTTGAAAAAAGAAAAGAAGAAAGACAAAAGGATTATTAATATTTTTTCATGTAAAATTAAAAGAAAAGGCGATATAGCATAATTTTATCTGACATGGATTCTAGCATCATGCGTTAAAGAGACATACAGCTTCATAGGGGTTTAAAATATCGACTTTGAACGATTATAAGTGCCTGGATGAAACTTCGTTGAATACAGGGACCAAGATGATAAACGCGCTCTAATAGGAAGATAAAAATAAAAGAGTTGGGGTGGTTTTAATAGGAAGATAAAATGGTTTTAAGAAAATACTTTTCGTGAAAAGTAAATTTTGTGTTTATGATGACCAAATTTATTTTCGATTAAAAATATTTTTCGCCAAAAGAATGGTTTCACTCAACTGTGGATGGACGGAAGCATTTTCCTTACAGCTCTTTTTTAACTTTTAATTTTATATAATTATTTAACTAACTCCCAGACAATATTTGTCACGATCCAAATTCCTTATTAGGCCGTGATGGCGCCCAACACCATTGCTAGGCAAGCCAATACTAATCAAGTAGTAAATCCTCATTTATGTAGTTGGTACGTGATAACTTCCATTATATATTTTAAGAAATTTATAGTTTTAAGAATTTAAGCATATTTAAATGAAAGAAATAAATGCAGATCTCAATAATGAAGACAAGCCAAAATATCATAATTCTACTAATGTGTGTGCCAAGACCTGGTGTCACAAGTGTGTGGGCAATCTAGTAGAATATACAAACCATAAGTCTGGAAAAGAAATAGACAGGAAAATAAAGACAAAAGAGAGACTCCAGCTGATGCAGATCGGCTCGAAAGGGAAACTCACCGGAAAGTCTCGAGCTGAGGAGTCCACTCTATGCGCTGGACTGATGGCCAAATGCACCTGCCTCAAAGCATGTACAATCAAGTACAGAAGTGTAGCATGAGTACATAAAAATATGTACCCAGTAAGTATCTCGCCTAACCTCGCAGAAGTAGTGACAAGGGGTCGACTCCGACACTTACTAGGCCAGCAGATATAATAATATGAAGTTTAATATATTTAATTCACAATGTATGTAGATAACAACAAGCTCGAACCAGAATAATTATTGAAAATCCTTTCATCCAATTAATAAAACTAAGCATTTTTTAAACTAGTGACCCTTCCAGCAATAAGTCATACGAAATATAAGGGTTATGGTTCTATTATCACACACAAATACCATCGAGGACGTTCAGCCCGATCCACATAAAAGTAAAACGTGCACTGCCGAAGATCGAAGGCACGAACCATAGATGCATCTATTCACCCCGCTCGCGAATTATACAAGCGACATGGTAAAAGCATAACCACGCTCGCGAATATACGTGCGACGCGGTAAACATAATTTTCATCATTTAAAACACAACACTTCCTTAATTCCTTTTTATAAAAATGAATACAATTCACTTGAAGCCTGTAAATCCTTAGATTTCCTTCAACTTACTTTCTTCCATTCCATTAGCATATAATACGCAATTAATAGCGGCCACGAAGTATGATGTAATCCTAGAACTACCCATGCATAACAGGAATAGTAGCTACGTACGGACTCTCGTCACCTCGTGCGTACGTAGCCCCTCCCCACAAGTAATTATATATTAATTAAGTTCACCTCTGGGGACATTTTCTCCTACAAGGATAGAAAAGAGACTTACCTCGTTTCGAGCCTACTTCCAACTCAAGAATGCGTCCAAACTCTCAAACCGGAGCCGCACAATCCGAAACTATTCAAATAGTGTAAAAGTCCATCATTATAGGTTTACACATTCGTATTCTAGCTATTAAGGTGATTATCCAACCCCAAGGATAAGGTTCCTAAAATTCAACCCCGGGCCCACGTGCCCGGATTTCAGAAATTTTCGAAGGAAGTTGTTACCCATAACCTAAGGATCAAGAATATATAATTTTTACTCCATTACATAACGAATTTCTTGGTTAAATTTTATTTTTATCAAGACCCTAGATTTTACTCTAATTCCATGATTTTCACTAATCTTTACATGTTAATCTACCCAAAATTCAAGTATTTAACTCACATAAAGTAAGGATAACTTACCTCTAAGAGCTTGGTGAAAATCTTCTTTCAAGAGCTCCAAAATCGCCTAACTTTTGAGTGGAAATGAGCCAAAAATGGCTAACACCCACAATAAATGAAGGTCGCTGCCTTCAGTGATTCCGCATCTGCGGTCCTGTGCCACACCTGCGCCCACCGCATCTGCGGAAATGAATCCGCTTCTGTGGAAATTACCCTGGTCGGCTGGCCGCTTCTGCGAAAGGCAATCCGCTTCTGCGGCTCCGCTTCTACGGAAGATAGGCCGCTTTTGCGGCTCCTGGACTGGCCACCCATGGCCACATCTGCGATGTCTTAGCCGCTTCTGCGGGCTCTTCACATGTGGTTGGCCAACCGCAGGTGCGGTTATGACAGAAGACTGAAGCTTCAGCCTTTTCCCACATTTCCAACTAGCTCGAGCCTCGTCCGATTGACGCTCGGGCCTCCGGGGCCCTGCCCAAACATACCTACAAGTTTGAAATGATAAAACGGACTCGCTCGAACCCTCGGAACGCCCGAAACAACGCTAAATCTAAGAATCACCCATAAAACCAATTGAATGAAACTTATGAACTTCACGTTCTTCAATCTACTTCCAATGTGACAAAACACCCTTATACTATTGGGATTGACACCAAATTTTGTGTGCAAGACTTAAATGACATTACATATCTATTTCCGGTCTCTGAATTCCGTTCAGACCTCGATAACACAAAAATCCGCTCCAAACCAAATTTAAAGAACTTCAAAATCCTTAAGAAATCAACTTTCACTAGTAGGCGTCAAAACGCTCCTGGGTCATCCAAAATCCGATCCGGACATACGACCAAGTCCGAAATCATCATACGAACTTGCTGGAACCTTCAAATCCAGATTCCGAGGTCGTTTACTCAAAACGTTGACTGAAGTCAAACTTGGCCTTTTAAGCCCACCTTAAGGAACTAAGTGTTCCGATTTCAACCCAAATTCTTCCAAATCCCGAACCAACCATCCCCACAAGTCATAAATTAGTTAAAGCACGTACGGACTACAAAGCAAGACAACCGGTTGGGTCGTTACTATATTATTAATCTTTAATAATATTTAAATATTTCATCAAAATACTCTACAATTTATTAATTTTTTATATACTTTATTCTAAAAAATTATTTTCCAAGAAACATTTACTTCGGTCATATCAAAGTAACACAAAAGCTTGCAATCTCAAAAAAAAATTCACAAATAGCCAATCTCTCCTCTTTCCGAACCAACAATTCCACTAAAAGGTGAACAAAGAGAAATTATCAGTAGCAAGAGATGGAAGTATGAGCATTAGTTGGAAATGAAATCAACATTTCTGTTGTGTTTTCTTCTGCTTTCTACTTACCTTTGCAATGGGATCGCATCAACTTCATCTGCAATGCATACGAACAATTGGGCTGTTTTGGTCTGCACTTCTCGTTTCTGGTAATTTTTGCTTTTAGAGCTGATTTTTAGCAATTTATTGACAGATTTGTGCTGGGGTTAGGCTGGGAGGGAAATTAGGGTACGTGAACTTGAAGAACCCTCGTGAAATAGCTTATGATCACTCTAACGTAGTACACTACTAGTGGAAAATTGAATTGAGGCATAGTTGATTGGTCGTTTTATTCGAATAATTCACTTTGTCATGAGCTTTTAAATCAACTTTCTGTATATATGATCTTACATTGAATTTGGATGTATACCCATGTTATGATCCATTTCAAGGTATGAGACTTGAGCTCCACATAAGTATTGCATTGTGTTGATGTGGGGTTTTATATCCACCTCAATAGCTGTGTTGATGTGGGGTTTATATAGCCTTGGGCTCTCCCACCTCAATAGTTAGCTTTTGGGGTGTAGTTCTTCCTGTATTGTATTATGCCCATAAAAATGATGTGTCTTTGGCATCGAAGAGTGTGGCTAAGTGGTCAATAAAGTGGGAGCAGAACCATAAGGTCTCAGGTTCAAAGCGGAGGCCAGAAAAAAAAAATACTAGGTGATTTCTTGCTATCTGCCTACGCCTTGGTGCGTTGGTACCTGTGCTGGTGGGACATCACAAGTACCCGATCGAATAGTCGAAATGCATTCAAGCTGGCCCCGACACTATCATCATCGAAAGAGAAATTGTCTATGATGGAGTCCTATCAGCTCTTATTAGGTGCGGTAATTTTCACCATGAATGGGAGACTAAAAGAGGTGTTTATTGAAGAAGTAATGGTGGTAGAATGATAAGTTTTTAGCTGGGTTTAGCCTTGATTCGAGAAATTACGAGTTTCTAAAACCTGTTGTTGTTAATTAAAGGCTCTCTGTGTGCATTGCAATACTCTTACTTTTTAGCTGGTACACTTCAAGTTTAGCTATAGACACTGGATTTAGCCTTGATACAGCATAATCAAAGAGTTCCTGAAAACTTTTATCTTTACTTAGAAAGCTCTATGTTTGCAAGAGGCTTGGCTTATTTGTTTTTACTCTTCAGGTTTAATTACAGACACATGGCTAATACTTTATCTTTGTACAGGTGAGAATCTTGCTGTTTTAGTACCCATTGTGATCATCATTGATTATCTTTGTCTTCCTTTCCATTTCTGAGCTTCATTCGCTGTGTTCTAATTTCTTTTCTATTTGTTCTTTGAAATCAGAACTGTAAAACGATTGGGCATACCTGATGAAAGAATTATTCTGATGTTGGCTGATGATATGGCTTGCAATTCTCGGAATAAATACCCTGCACAGGTCTTTAACAATGAAAACCACAGGCTAAACTTATATGGAGATAACGTTGAGGTGTGTAAAACTTCTTCCTCTGTCTTGTGCCTTCCAATATTGCTCCCGAATTTAATGTTAATTCTGTAAGATATTCTGTGTGGTTGACATTTACCTTAGCATTATCAATTTAGCTATTCTTATCATGTTCGAGATACGTAGTAATGGATGCTGATGGTCAACACTTAAATTTGAGGATAGACAATGAAAGGAAGGCGACATGGAAGACCACACTGTCATGCTTTTTTGGAGTATATGTAATAATTAGAATAGGCGATTGTTTCATAATGATGAGGAAGATGTAAAAACACCATGAGATCTTTTTTTGTTTCAATTGTAATTTTGATGTAAGGAGGAAAGACTATGATGTATGCATACTCGGTGGAAGACAATGAGTGACACAAAAAGAGCTAGATACACGTCTTCCACAAATTTGTTGACAACAACTTGGTGTTTATTAATGAAATCTTTTGACTTATCAAAGAAAAAGTTCCAGCATTTTAAACAATTTTAGCCGGGCGAGGTCGATATTTTTCTCCTCGCACCGTTGTAAATTAAATTTTTGCACTTCTATATATATCTTCGGACTGGCTTATGAGTATATGAATTTCACAGAATTCAGGTTGTTTTTGTTATGTATTTAATTTAGTTGTCTAATTAAACAAGCTTCTAAACATCAGGTAGATTATCGAGGTTATGAAGTAACGGTTGAAAATTTTTTGAGGGTGTTGACTGGTCGTCACGAAACAGCTGTCCCAAGATCAAAACGTCTTCTTAGTGATGAAGGAAGCCACATACTTCTGTACATGACAGGGCATGGTGGAGACGAGTTTTTAAAATTTCAGGATTCAGAGGAGCTTCAAAGTCATGATTTAGCTGATGCAGTGAAACAAATGAAAGAAAAGCGTAGGTATAGAAATCAGCCTTGACTTTCTGTTGTTTGTTAATTTTCGTTAAAAAATAAAATTGATTGTTATGCAAAATTTGCTTAGGAATCATATGGACTTTGTTGTCTCCCCTTTTAAACTGATAAGGGCTTGTTGGATGTCTGCTATGAATCTACTCTGTTTGATGCTATGGCATTTATGCACATGACTCCTTGTCGGTTGTAGCTTCTTGATGATGAATTGATTAGATAGTTTCTTTGCTGGACCTATGAAGTGATGCTTTGACATGTCTCCATTGTTGAATTTCAGATTCAAGGAGCTGCTAATAATGGTTGACACTTGCCAAGCTGCTACTCTTTTCTCTCAGGTGACTTTTGCCTTTTTGTCATTAATGCAACACTTTTCTTGCAAAATGTTCAAGTCACATTGCTACCCTGTATTCTTGCTTCATTTAATCATAGTTAGTCCATAACTACCATTGGTCGTGCATTCTCCTATTGTTGTACTTGAGGCATCTAAAGAAACTAATATTTGGCTTTATGTGGTTGGTCTTTTAATGGATTTTTGTTTCCTATTAATTAATTTATTTGTAAGTATCTCTTAAGTATATTTTCAATGACTCGCCACCTCCTAACCTTTCAGCACGCCATGTTATTTGACCTTCCCAAGTTTAGTGATTGGGGATGCTAATCTTCACCTGGAAGATATTTGCATGACATGACTTAAGGATGACAAAGCTAGAACTTTGTGAAGACTGGCCTTGATGCAATAAAACTCTGCTGAAGACGTGATTCGTTTTCATTCATCATTTTTTGCAAGTTAATACTCTACTCAGGAGTTAACTGTAATGATACTAGTCAAATAGGATCAATGGTCATGATTGGGGTTGAAACTTATTCTTGCTCCAGAATGTGCAACTAGTTTCTTGCTTAAGTTGATGAAAAACATACTCTGAGCGAACTGAATTTCTAACTCCGAATTCAATAGGTATCCAACATGTGTGGAAATTTCTGAGGAAAGCCCATATTCCAATGCTTTTGAGATTAGAGTCCCATGGTCGGGCTATTGGCAGACATCTGTAGTAATTGAGTATGATGACATCTGGCTGCCCGAACTTGATATTTAATCAGAAAGACGAGCTATTAGCTATATTTGAGTTATGATTGTAGATTGAAAAGTTTCAGATTCAGTGCATTATTTTTATTAATTTGTTTCAGTACCTTAATAACTATCTTAAATATCAATTTCACTTTGATTTACATTCTCTTTATGGTAAGGAAGCCTTTATCCCCCC